CACACACACACACACACACGGCTGCCTACCTCTGTCCTGTTGGATTGAAGAACCGAAGAAAATATATGACCTCACACGCTAACAAAATCCTAATTGTCTTAATACTCCAATAAAGTTTCTAATGGTTTTTAACAACAAGACTTGTCACTTTTCTCCCTTCCATCCCCCCTTCCTTCCTTCCTTCCTTCCTTCCTTCCTTCCTCCCTCTCTCCCTCTTCTTCACACAATGCCTCCTTCCTTCTTTGCTTCTTTCCTTCCTTCCTTCCTCCCTCCGTGTCTTCCTTCCTCCCCACGCCTCCTTCCTTCTTTCGCTCCCTTCCTCTCTTCCTTCCCAATCTTCCTCCTTTCCTTCCCAATGTCTCCTTCCTTCTTTCCCTGTTCCTCTCTTCCTTCCCAGTGTTCCTCCCTCCTTCTCTTCCTTCCCACAATCTTCCTTCCTCCTTCCCACAATGTCAATTTCCTTCCTACTTTCCTTCCCTCCATTCCTCTCTTCCCAGAATATTTTCCTCCCTCCCTCCCCACAATATCTTCCTTCCTTCCCACAATGTCTCCTTCCTTCATCCCCTCCGTTCCTCTCTTTCTTCCCACAGTCTTCCTCCCTCCCTCCGTCACAATCCTTCCTTCCTCCCTTCCTTTCCACAATGTCTCCTTCCTCCTTCCTGTCCGTTCCTCTCTTCCTTCCCACAAATTCTTCCTCCCTTCCTTCCCACAATATCTTTCCTTCCTTCCCTCCCTCCCAATTGCAAATTTTGGTCATAAATGAAGGATTAACTACAGATGACAAATGCAGGAAAAGAGAATTCCTGGTCTAATACAGTTTCCAATTTCTTATACTCTCCCAAGCCATCATGGGTGATGCCAGTCAACTACGGTTTGTTTAATAAACCATCATTTCCCGAACCATGTTTTAGGATTCCACATAAGCCAATATTTTTTTAACAAACCCTCTTTGATTGGAACTGGGGCTTAAAAGAACATTAGGAAGGAGCTGGATGATTATTATTCTTTTGAAAAAACAAACAAACCGAAATTACTGTTTTAGGATCCCCAATAAAATTCAGATTTAAGGATGAGTTCATTTGTTTGTTTGAGGCTTTCAAATATTTACAGGCGGGACGAGAGAAAAATAAACAGTTCGCAATCCTCCTTTAGCCCCATGACCACGGCAAGAATTTGTAATATTCATAGGGCAAATATTATTTCTTAATCTCGAGGGTCCAAATTAATGTCTGTTTTTAGTCGTGATGCTTTAATTCCACCCAGGATTTTTCATACTTGGGGAGAACAAATTAAATTAAGCTCTGAGGCTATTTTCAGTCATGAAGTGACCACTCAACCCTGATTCATTCCGAAATAGTAGGTTAGATATATATATAGGGAGTCCTTGATTTACGGCCACAATCGAGACCAGGTTTTTCGTTGCTGTGAAGGGAGCTGTGCCCAATTTTATGACTTTTCTCACTCTGGTTGCGAAGTGAATTTCTGCGGTTGTTAAGTGAATCGTTAAGGGAATCCAGCGGGACTGTGTCACCCTGGGAGGCTACATGCCAATTGCCAAGCAGTCATATTCGGATCACATGACCACGGGGATGCAGGGATGGACACAAGCCCGAGGATCAGTCGTACGTCACTTTCGTCAATGCTGTTGGACTTTTGAACGGCTGGAAGATGAAGGAGACCTGATAGGATTCTCAACCTGGGCAAGTTGAAAATTGGTGGACTTCAACTCCCAGATTTCCCCAGCCATCATGGTGTGTGGAAGCCCAGCCCTCGTAAAGCATGCTGGCTGGGGAATTCTGGGAGTTGGAGTCCACCCATCTTAAAGCACGCTGGCTGGAGGATTCTGGGAATTGAAGTCCATCCATCTTAAAACAAGCTGGCTGGGGAATTCTGGGAGTTGAAGTCCACCCATCTTAAAGCACGCTAGCTGGGGAATTCTGGGAATTGAAGTCCACCCTTTAAAACAAGCTGGCTGGAGGATTCTGGGAATTGAAGTCCATCCATCTTAAAA